CATGCAGGGCCAGTTTTTGGAAGAGCTCCGCATCCGGCAAGCCATCAATGTCCTCCTGTTTCTCATATTTTATCAAGCGCTTCCTCAGCTCAGCCCGCCAAGGGTTAGACTTCTGAAACCTCATCCCTTGCTGGTTCTCCTTCCCCAACCCCCCCTTGCTATCAGGATCTTTTCTGTTGTCTCCTTGCATTTTTCTCATCCCTGCATTTTGGAAAGACATGCCCAAGGCTTTCCCTTTCTTCCCCCCCAGCATGTATCCCGGGAATGCCTGCTTTTGCAGCTCAAAATTCTGGTTCAGGATCTGCTCCAGCTCTGAGAGAGGCTTTTTGGCTGCATCCCCACCAGCAATCACCCGCAGTGGGGGTGTCAACCCCACCACCAGTGGCTCCTTGAATTCAGGCCTGTCAAAATCAGGGGGGGACTCCTTTGAGCCAGGCAGCCCAGCCATCTGGTAGAGCATCCTTTTACGGTTAACATAGGCATCAGGCCTCTCCTCGGGGTTTTGCTTCTCCTGGTGGAAGAGCACTAAGGGGTTGACCTCTGGGAAGAACACCTTCAGCACAGCCAGCTGGACATCCCCGATATCCTGGACATTGCCCATCTGCACATCCCCTGGCAGTGACGCAAAATCATCTGGTTTCATGCACTTTCTCACAATGTCTATCAGGTCACTCACAAAGTTGCCACTCTGGCACTTGGGCAGACGCTGGACCCTGGACAGCCAGTTAATTGCTGTCTCCTTTGTCAGCGGCCCCAGCATCTTCCCCACAGTCTTAATCTGCTCAGGGGTAAACCAGAGCACAGCCCTGTTGGTGTCTATGGGCTGCAGTGGGGCATGGCTGACTGGCTCTTCGTGGGGAACCTTTTTATCTTTGGAAGCCTCTACCTCCCCTACTTGCAGCTGGCACACCTCCTCCCGCAGAGGAGCATAGGGGGACGGCCTGGTGGGGCTGTTAGCACCCCACACATCATCCTCATAATCGTAGTGGGGTGGGTGCAGGTCCAGGGAGTCCTCCCCCTCCCCATTCCCCATCGGGGTCCTCTTGCCTTTAATGGCAGCCACAATGCCCCTTGACACCCCCAGCTCTGCCTCCAGCTCCTGGATCTTGGCATGGCACACCTTGTGATCGGGGCCAGTGCCCCGGTCCCGCTGGACGTCCTGCAGGACCGCCCGCACCGCGCTCTGCGCATCGTGGGTCTCCCCAATCCACTTGCCAACCTCCTTCTTCAGCTCCTCCGTTTTCAGCTTCTCATAGCCCAGCTTGCTTTCCAGCCGGGTGATCTCCACCGCGCTCCGCAGAGAGTCCCCACACAAGCCCTGCACCTCCGCCCGCAGGTTGTCCACCTGGATTTTGAGCTCCTCCTTGGCCTGCTCCAAGGTCTGCACATTCTCAAGAGCCTCCTTCAGCAGTTTGGACAACTCCCTGCCTACCATCAGCAAACCCTGCAAAGCCGCTCGCTTCTTACACTTGTTAGTGGGTTTGGGCTTTTTGTTCTCCTCGGACCAGCTCTCCCACTGCTGGCACAGCTGCTGGTACGCATCCGGGCCCTGGAAAGACCCCGCTGACCAAATTGGGGGGAGACACTTCTGGAGCACAAACTGCTCCAGCTTCCAGCTGCTAACGATGTCGCTCATCATAGCCAAGGGGACAAGTATCTGAGACGGCTCCGTCTCAGGGCGAAACTACCATAACACACCAGCACTGACAGCCCCTTCAACCCCTCCACAGAGCGAGGCTGCAACCCCACAGCCCACCCTTCCGAAAATCCCCCGGGGGGACACCGAGCCTGGGCACAAGGGAAGGGAAGGTGGGAACAGGAGGCCGCAGCCGAGCCGGCAGCTGCCGCAAGCCACCGGCTCCCGGGAGGGAACGGGGAAGGGATGCGGGAGCGGGTGAGGCAAAGGAGAGATGGAGCAGGACCCCAGTAATAAGATCTCACCAATCCTCGGCTGAACGTTCCGGCAGTCCCAGGAGTTTGGAGATGGTCTCTGCAGAGGTCCAGAAGATCCAGCACCTTTAAGGTAAAGGTGGCCACGAAGTCTCTGCCTGGTGATTTTTATAGCCATGGCAAGTCTTTGTTTGGGGCTGATGACACCTGTGTTTACTTCCCTGGCGGCTTTTCCTCCTCCGTGTGCTGCCTTCCCAAGGACACTTTCCTTGTCTTTCCTTATCCTCTTCAACACTGATTAGGGAAGCTGAGATCACACAGTAGCACCTGCACTGCCCCTTATCTGTTTGGGGAGGGCCAGGATTAGGCAAGGCTCACACTAAACTTCTGCTTGCACCAAATGTCCTGAAGAGGGAGAGCTGGAGCCTGTCCTCTGACCGTCCATCCTTCCAAATCCCCCCATGGCCCCCTCACTTACTGCACACCCCATAGCACCTGGGCTTTGTGAGGAGATCACATGTGAAGCTCACACTTGACACCTGCAACAAGCACAGTCCTGCCAAACCAACCTCCAAGCACAGATCTATTTGCCAGGAGGGAGAAAATTACAGGAAAATTCACATCAATCGTCATTTAGATCCATTTTGGCATCTGGTCTTTAAAAGCAGGATTTTTCCGTGCCACAGCCCAGCTCATCATACACTGACATGGACCTTGGGGTTACCCCATGAGATGTCAGGAGCCTCCACTGTGATATTGCATCAGCTGAACTGCAGCTGTAAATCTGCACCTGCAAAAGCAGATGGACCCCCAAACCTCACCATACAAACCACATCTTAGCTTGGAGAAGTTTAGAAAATTTGACAGACTTGTTTTGGGTTTTTTTTTTTTCCCTGCTATTACACTCAGACAAAGGTACCAATTGTCTCGCTCAGTGAAAATGCTATCATTTTCATTACTGCTTTTACCTCTGATTAAATACTGCAGAAACTAAAGCCTCCACTAGAATAAAACAATTTTTAAAAATCGTAAAATGGGAAAAAAAATGTTCATGGCTGCTGTAGCCCCAGGGAGTTTCAATCCTGCACCCCTTTACCCCCAGAGCAGCCCCTATTTCCACATACTGCAGTACTGGCTTGTTGGACTGACTTGGAGGCTGAGCAACCCTCAAAATCAATCCTTCTAACCTCAAAAGCACAGAGAGCATGATTTTTTCCTCTATTTTTGTGGTAGCTGTTTTCCCTAGACTGGCATTTACACCCTAGCTGCAATTAACCTCCTCTGCAGCATGAGAGTTTAACAGAGCCAGGTCCTGCTTCTTGGCTCTAAACACAGTTCTTATACACCAGTGCTTCACTTTAGCCCCCAAAACCAACACTTTATTGTAGGAAATTCATAAGAGGGGGAAAAGAAAGAGTAAAAAATGCAGAAAAGATGGTGAAAGCACCAGAAATTAATCTCAACGTGGTGAGGTGGGCAGGATGCATGCTAAAAAAAAGAAGATGGGTTTTTTTCTACTAGGATGAGTTCACAGGGAACATAGCTGGGCTGGGGACAGGGATGGTTGTCTTTAATTTCAGAAAAAGAATAAAATTCCCCTGGAAATTGTGCAGCTACATAGTACAAATACACCAAAATTCAGCTATTCTCCCCCAGTACAGCCCAGCCATGAGCCAAACACTGGTGATTAGGAGCTGCTGTTCCTCAGCAAGGTCACCAACAAATCCTGGTTGTGTGAACAGATAAGATCAACTTACACCCTTCTTTCCTCCCATTTTCTTCCCAGGACAGCAGCCCCAAACAACGTGGGGATGTTACAAACAGCAGCTGTCTCCTGCACATTCACACAGTACTTTGATTTTTGTCAGAGCTTTGCTGCCAGACAAAAGTATCCCTCCTCCAAAATGTTTTCTTGTAGGAGCAACAGCCAGTCCTGAGAACAGCTTGGCCACTGGTAAACAGCTCCACTGCATATAAACAGCAATTTAAAAAAAAATTATATTTAATCCATTTTCAGTATATAATACTTTTACATTTCATGTATTTCTTCTGCTTTCTCTAAAGTTGTTATAATGTCCTGGGGAGTCATCCCAATGTCACACCCCCATCTCCGAGGTTGTAATGATGGCAAAAGCCACCTCTGGGAAAAATTCTTGTCCTGGCCAGGAAGGCAGAAGTAGCTCCAGGTGACAGCAGCAGTGGGAAAAGAGGGATGCAGCCATTGCAGCAGCTGGGGATTTTGGGCTCACCTCACCGACTTCACCACAGGGGTGAATGGAAAATTCACTTGCAGTGGTATTTCTCATAAGAGGCACTCTCTGCCCCCCTACCTCAAAAAAGAAGAAGTGTTTCACCTTATTCTAGGGAGGGCCCCAATCTCGAGGTGATGTGAAATAAAAGGGGGCAGATGAGCAGAAGGTGAGGACAGCAGAGGCAAGTGTTGCTGCAACCCTCATCAAGGGCTCAGCTCTGAAAATAAGAGCTTTAAAGCACTGAAATGGTTTTGAAAACACTAAAATTTCCTTCTCCTGCCAGGAAAGAGTTAAGGAGAAATTCAGCCCACCCTAAAGTTTAGCAGATGAGCCTTTTGTGGCAAGGGTTTTGCAGCTAGCAACCCACTTCGAGCAGGAAATTAATTTAAACAGAAATGGGGAGAGGATGTGTTACAGCAGCACGGAAAAATCTGGTATAAAACAGACCAAAAGCTCACACTGTACAAGATGCAATATTGTTTTTCCTATTCATCTGCCAGCTGAACCCTGGGGGAAGTTTCTCAGTGCCCCTATGTGGGATTCCCTTTTCTGGGGAAATGCTGGAGCATGGTAAGGACGACAGGTATCTGGATGAGAGAGACATAAAAGAAAATTTAATCTCACTTGGCAGCCAAGAGGGCAGCAATAAATAAAAATAATTAATAATTTCTATTTTTTTTCCAAACATGAAAATATTGAAAGCTGCTGACACCAGCTCATCTCCTTAATTTCACCTCATGTACTTGTATTTGAATCCTAAACCCCAAGTGCTTCAAACCTCTTCCTCACAGACATTTCAAAGTCATTCTGATATTTTATCATTTAAATATTTCTCTCTATGAGCTGCATGCTGTCACAGCTACCAAAGCAGCACATGCTCTGAGGTGAAAAGCCCCAGCAGAATTTCCTCATTTTTGTGGTTTTTCAGCCACAAATTTGTTTGAGGTTTCTTGCTCTTGATTTCAAAGCTTTCTGTGATGCTTCACATCTCTGCTTTATGTTGGGTTGGTCTGGTGTTCAGCACTTTTCAGAGAAAAACACCTGCTATAAATTTTTTCTGAAGAAAACAACTCCACAGATCAAACTGCATCTTTTCCTTGTTTTAAATGCTTTTTTTTTTTTTAATTATTTCAGCAGGGAGAAAACCAGACAAAATTCATGCTTTCCTGCTTTTATCTCTAAGACCATGGTCTTACATTTGTAATTTTTTGGATAGGATAGAAGTAGATTAAAAGAAGGACGAATAACTGGGTGGTGAAATATGAAGAAATTAAAAATCAGTGAGTTTTTTTGGTTTTATTTTTCCAAAGGGGATTTAAGGGTACCCTGTGAAGTGCTGGAGAAGGGCACAGGGCTGCTGCCCTGATGCACTCCTGGGTTTGGGGCTCGGCGCAGAAGAAGCTGCCAGGCTGAGGCTCCAGGTGCTGCTGTGGCAGAGGCTGTTTGGCAGCTGCTGGTGAGAGATCTGCACAGAGAGGGGCAAGGACTTCCTGAGGTGAAGCCAGCCCTGCCACCAAGAGGTGACAGCAAGTGGAAAGGGGGAGCTGGCACAAAACCCCTCCGTCACCGAGGCCGCCACCATGGCCCGGCCATGGCTCCATCTCTGCATCTGCCTCCAGATCCCAGGTAAGAGGGACACATCTCTTAAGGGCTGAGGGCACCTAAAATCCTGCTGGAGCATCTTCTCCACCACACTCCAGCAGCTGGATGATGGAAGATTAAATATGCCATCACAGTAGAGATCTACAGGATATTATTATCTATTTCCGATGATTTTGGATCACGCTGTTAATGACATGGTTTAGGTTTTGTTCAGCCCTGAACTGGTCAGAAAGTGGGACCAGTTGATTGCTGTGGGTCCCTTCCAACTGAAATAGTCTATTCTGTTCTATTCTGTTCTGTTCTATTCTATTCTATTCTATTCTATTCTATTCTATTCTATTCTATTCTACTCTATTCTATATTCTATTAATATTTCAATACACAGTGCTAGAGACACCACAGAGTTTTTACTCCTCAGTGCAGATGGGCTGTAGGAAGCTGCTAAAGGAGAGGTTAAAACAGCTCCTCTCTCCACTGCCTGTGTAACACAAATATGACAAACATCCCAAATTTCCTAAATCATCCAAAGACTGAGTACTTCCCAAAGGCCACAGCTGGAATTGGTGTGTTTTAAAACCATTCTGCCTTAGAGGTTCTGATATCCTATAGATCTGTGAGGTGGGGAGCCCACTGAGAAAACCTCAATAAATGTGAGTTTGCTTTGCCCATGCAAAAAGAAAAGGAATAATTTTTAAGTTTCTGCAGGCTGGTCTGGTCAAGCACCATGATGCCCCATGGTGCCCCTGAATATACACCAGGAAAGGGAACAGACAGGTTTGGGGGTTGAAAGTATGACTGAGGAGGAGTTTTCTTCTCTGTCTCCATCCCAGCTCACTCCTGGCTTGACCACTGGCACTGAGCTGGGGTCTTCCAGAATCTCTTCTTATCTTTTCTGAATTACATTACAGGGTCTCCAACAGGTCAAGGATAAATTTTTCATGGAGAGTTGTGTTTCCCATACCAGCAGAGCCACACCTCAGGACACTCAAGGAGACCCTGAAGCCCCCATGTGCCATGGCCACACACATTTCATCCCCTAAAAAACCACACAGGTGTTTGCCAGGACAAAATCTAAGAGAACTATGCTCTAAAACGTTAAAATTATGTATTTTAATAATAAGGAGACAGTAATGTTGTCACAGAGCCAGAGGATGTGGGGAAATGCTGCAGATTCTGTGCAACACCAAAATGTTGGCATTGCAGTGTTGGTAACAGGGTTGCATGAGGCTGAAAAAGCTGCTGTGAGCAACTCCAGGATTTAAAGGAAAAAGGAACATTTTAAAGTAAAAAAAGACAAGAAATATGTATTATTGAGCTTTTTGCACAGCTTTAAAACACGCCTGGGAAAGAGATGGGGGAAGCAGGAGTATCCTTATCTCCAGAGGGCTGTTTTTCCTCTCGGGCTCAGAGTATCTGCAGCTTTGCAGGACTGTTTGCTGAGCAGCAAGGATCACAAGTTACCTGTTATCCTTTCCACAAGGACACATCCTCGCTCTCACAGACACTCCTCACATCTGCCTGGGCCAAACAAGACTTAGATAATTTCCACAAAAGCTGCAAAGCCCAAACAGGGCGATGCGATGCCAAACCAAAGCTTTGAACCCCACCGCTGCCCCTCACTCCCTCTCCTTCCCCATGTCTCAAAATTCCTTTGAAAAATAGTATTGTCTGAAAACCACTATCAAATTGGCTCATTTTGAAATATTTTGCACATTTTTTTGGTCTCCTTTTCTGCCCCTGAAATGTCTATAAATGTTGTATCAGTTGGAAGAAAAAGTTGGCAAATCGGTTAAGAGGTATAAAAAATTTGTTGAAAAAGGGGTAAAATATCTGAAAAATGAGAAAGGTAAGGAGGGCAGGAGAGGGGCATTCACAGGAGCAGGCAGGGATGCTCTTCCCTGTACGTACAGCCCCAAGAACACCCTCAAAACCATCCCTCCATCTCTCTTCCTGCCAGTAGCCTCCTTCTTAGATGAGTGTTTACAGAGAAAAGGCTGCCTGTATAATTTGGTTTGGTCAAAACAATAGCTGGGGAACCCAAAGAGACCTCTGAGGGAATTTGGGAGCATCCTGATAAAAATGCTCCTGTTTCTCACATGTGACCCCTCTGGTCTGTGTGTCTATGTGGTTTTATTAAGCCCATAAAGAAAATCTGTACTTTGCACGAAAGAAAAAAAAGTTGAATTAAAATAATAACTGTATATTTCTCTATTTCCTTAGGCTTTTATACAACTCTACTTTTAACCCAAATTCCAAGGCATATTCTAACCCAAACTAACAATAAAACTGAAATCCTCTGTGAGCTGAAGAAGGAGCACACCGGGGTGTACTGGTACCGCTGGAGCCAGGAGAGGCAACATTTCGAGTTCTTGTTATTTTCCAACACACTGGGCAAAGCCACATACGGCCCAAATGTGAAGCAGGACAAGTTTAGTGTCCATGAGGCGAGGTCCCACAGCTCCTACAGCCTGCACATCAGCCACCTGCATCCCTCAGACAGCGGCACCTACTACTGCTCCATCTCCCAGTCCTCCCAGCTCCTCCTGGGCAGCGGGACACAGCTCACAGTGGGTAAGCAGCACCCTCGGGCTTCCAAAATGGGCCACCAGCACCTTGTGAGCAGGTCCCCTGGGAAATGGGGTGATTAGTTTTGGTAGATTCTTCCCAGTTTTGAGTTGCAAGGTTGGGGGTCTGGGTTTTTTTTCTATGAGACAGAAGGAATCTGTAATATATATATGCAGGAAATACAGAAAGTAGCTAAAATTTAAATCAGCTTCTGTGGTAGTCCTTTTGCCATCAGCAGGTGCTCTGCTGTGGGCATGCCTTGGGCACAGCATTGCTCCTCGTGCTCTGGGATTTCCATGTGAAGAGCTGGTATTGCCATGCCCTGTGTTTTTCTCATTCCCTGCTGTGCTTTGGATGAGAGGCTGGATGTGTGCCCTGCTCAGCTCACAGGTCCTTCCATGCCTTGGTTCTTCCTGACCCTCACTCCAAGTGACAAGAGCAGCATCGAGGCCAGAGAACATCACCCCTCTCATCTCTGGGGTGGGTCTGATGGCAGCTTTCAAGACCACCTTTCCAAAAAAAAAAAAACTGAAGTGGGATTTATTCCTCAAAGCTCACAACCCACTATCCCTGATAGTAAATAGCAGTTTTCTGCAGGTGCCATGGGAGGAGAGAGGCTTTACAGACATCTGGGTCATACAGAAGCTCTTTTCAGACCATTTTCCTTTTGACCACAGAGCAGTAGTTGATGCAGAAAAACTAATGTGTTTGAAGTGGGATTTGGCCTCTATTTTTGCAGACTTTTAGGGAGACAAATAACTTATTTAACTAAGATACAAATAACTTATTTAACCAAAATGCCACTTCTGACTCTAAAGCAGACCCTGTGTCCCAGTTTTTCTGGGGGTTTTTTGCAAATATACTCTGTACCTTGAACTGGATGAGAAATCCCTTTTGGATTCTTGCAGGCTCGGAGAAAAGCTGGTTTAAGATAAAGGAGAATTATTTTTTTAACAGCTCTGCACATATCTCTGTGCAAAGCATGAAAAGCAGGCTTGAAATGCAGCTTGATCAAGGACACCAATTAAAAAGTAAACAGCAGCAGGTGTTCTGGGAAGACTCAGGCTTTGCTAGATATTTTCTTTTTTTTCCTTTTAGTTCTCATGATAAAACAAATTGTCTTTAAGTTTCTCCTCCCTAAGTCTATTATAATTTAAGGGAGAAGTTATCCAGATAAATCCCAGAGCCCTGATGTCTCATCTTTTCATGTAAAAGAATGGTTGTTTCTGTAGGAATTTACATCCTGGATAGAAACAGGGGGAAAAAAAATAGTTTTTGATCCTAAAATTTTTTGATGCCTAAAATTTTGAATAAAATATATTTTGAGCAGTCAGACATGCAACTATTTAATGACATTACTGGCATATTTTCCTGGCCAACTTTATTCAGAAATTAATGTGTTCCATTTTAATTCAGATACACCATAATAAATCCTACCCTCATTTTATCAGAAAAGAAAAAAATCAAATGTTGGGCAAATTTTAGAGCAATGAGAATAAGGAAAAGATCCAGAAATCCCTTAAAACATTCCAGTGTTGCTGAAATCTCCTGCTACCTGATTTTGTGCAATTCTAGTGAGATGATGCTTGGCAGCAAATGCCGCTCCAGCAAGTTTGGGGGTTTTCCCTGCATTAGCCTCCTTTACCTGTACATTGCTTTATTGATGCTTTTAAAAGCTCTTGGTAACTTCTGTCAGCCCCAAGAGGCTGAGGTCAAGCTCACCCTTCTGAGTGACACAGCCCTTTGCAGGTTTGGGTTTGTTCAAGGGCCAAACCTTCCCCTCTTGCCTGCTGTTGGAGACCTCCCTGCACCCAGTGCCACCCTCACCAAACTCTTTTTCTCCTTATCCCCCAGTGGATGCTTTGCCTCCAAAGACCACCCAGACACCGGTGTCCAAAAAGCCAGTGCCACGGATAACCAAAGGCAGAGCTGCCAGCAGGGAAGGTATGGCACTGGCTCAGCTCAGGCTGCCTGGAAAAAGGGGTTTGCTGAGCTCTTGGGGTCCTGGGGTGGGGTTTGTCCTGGGGTGGGGGCCACCAGTGTCACCCTGCAGGAGTGGGTGCCTGGGTCCAGATGGACCCACTGCTCTGGGTAGAGCTGACTTCTGCCTGTAGGAGAGATTCCCTGGGCTATCCACAGGTTTAGGGGGCAGGATGTATTTATTTTAGGTTCTCATGGCCTCAGAGCCAGGTTCCCTGCAATGTGTTCCTTACTGTGAGAGGGACTGAGTACCAGAACTGGTTGCCCAGAGAGGTTGTGGAGTCTCCCTTATGAAAAATATGCAAAAGCCACGTGGACACAACCCTGTGCCCTGTGCTCTGGGATGACCCTGCTTGAGCGGGAAGGTTGGACCAGGTGACCCACTGTGTTCTCTTCCAACTTCACCCATTCTGTGGTTCTGTGGTTCTGTGGTGCATCCTTCAAAGGACACCCCAGGGTGATGGTCACACCCTCCACCGCTCCTCTGAGGGCCTGCCTTGCTTTTCTCCCTTCCCCACCCCTCACTCCATCCCCAAAGCTGTCGGAATCTGTGGGTATTGGTGATTCCGAGATTGTAGAAAGTCTCTGTCTTTCTGCCCCGTTGCCAAAGAAGAAGCCATAATTGGTCTGTGCTGGTTTCAAGGCTGTTTATTCTGTTTATCTCTAACCTGTTCTGCTGCCCTGCCGCAGCTCTGTCCTGCAGGGCAGCGTGTGGGGCTCTGCCCTCAGTGGGATGTTACAAACATTATATACCAGAAACTACCTGTGCTGGATTTACAATAACGTGCCAATATCTGTCACCTACGTTGAACAGTGTGTCCCCAGCCTGAACCAACAGAAAAATGCCAACACCGCAGTGAAACATGGAGGGCATGAAGAAGGAGAAAAAGGACAGGACACACCCAATTTCCTCCATCTTGTCCCCTCTGAACCCCTAATCTAGAAACCTAAAATTTTACTTTTGCACCCGTGCCACACTTAATTATTACTTATATCAAACACTCAAAGCTTGTAATTCATCCTGTAAGACTGAAAACTCCTCTCCATGGACAAAGATCAGAGACAGTGTCTCTGGGGGCTCTGTCCAGGGGGGTTCCTGACCCCTGCCAGGGTCCCAGACCTGCCAGGGCAGCCAGAGGGAAGCCCTGGATTCCCACACAAAGCTGCTGGGGCAGGGTGGTGCCAGCTGCTGAGTCCTCTCCTGTCCCCAGGTCCCTGCAGCCCCCTGGTCTGGATCCCACTGGCCGCTGCTGTCCTGCTGCTCCTGCTGAGCCTGGTCCTCACCACCCACCGCCTGTACCGTGAGTGCCCTGCCAGCATCCCAGGGGTGCCAGGCCCTGGCACAGCCCAGGAGGGCATGGAGAGCCAGGAGGGGCTCCTGGCACTGATGGACACTTTCTCTTGTCTCTTCCCAGGTCTGCGGCGGAGGCTGTGGCTTCGCATCCACGGGCAGTAAATCCCAGTAAATCCCAGTAAATCCCAGTAAATCCCAGTAAATCCTGCTACCCCCCTGCCTCAGACAGGCAGGGAGAAGCCACAGACTTCTCTGCACAAAGCGGAGCACTGCCTGGACATGACCCAGGAAGGACCTGGCAGGGGACAGATGTGGGTTTGTTACCACAAAAGTGACATTTCTTTCATGCATGACTTCAACATTCTCCTGGACACAGCAGCTGGCAAAAGGACCAAGCTGGATTCTGCAGCATCCTGAGCACTCCCCAAAGGACACTGAGCAGGGCAAATGCCACAGCTGGCTCTGCACAGGGGGAAAGGGGCAGGTACCAAAGGGATTCAGACGGGCTGGAAAGCTGTGAGCTCCTTGGCTCTCCTCTGTGTTCATCTGTAGGACAGCACAGAGGTGTTTTTTTGCTCCTGTTAATACTGATTGATAAAAATTTGGTAATCAACACCTTGAGAGCAACCAGCAGGAACGGGGCAGAGGCAACTTGTAAAGACCCTGTGCAGGTTTATTCATTTCCAAAAGTGAATATATCACTCCGTTATTTTGTTCTGCAGGCTGCTGTCTTTTGGTCCACACAGTTGTGTGGCAAGCAAGGAACCAGAGCATCCAACCAAGAAAGAGTTAAAGCAGAAGCTCCAGGGGTGAGCAGATCTGGGAGGGTTTCTTCTGCCATGGGAGTCTGCAAACAGCCAGGAGTGGGAGAGGAAAACCAGACAAAGCCATGCTCACAAGGCCAAACACTTGGCACAGCCTGAAGGTCAGCACCACCTCTGAGAGCAAACAGAGGGCCCCAGGGGCTGGCCCTGAGCCCAGCAGCACAGCATGGCCAGTGGGAAGTGCCCTGAGTGATGCCTGGCTGTGCTGAGCCCCGGGTGACACCCCTGTGTGCTGGCCCCAAGGGACACCTGTGCCCTGAGCCCTGTGTGACACCCCTGCATGATGAGCCCGGGCGATGCCCTCGTGTGCTGAGCTTTGAGTGATGCCAGAAGCAGGGAAGGTGTCCCCAGGGATGCCAGCAAGGCTCAGCTGCTGCCCAGGGTGCCAAGGCAGAGCTGGGGCTGGAAATTTGGCATCCTGCTGAGCACAGGCAGCGAGCACTCGCTCTCAGGTGCACCCCCAGCCCCACATCTGCTCACACACAAGCACCAGCACTGAGCCAGCTACAGTGAGGGCAAGGGGAAGGTGGTCCAGAGTCCCCAGGGTTGGGGCTAATACAATCTTGGGATGAGCTTGTGGGTGAAAGCATCACAGTGGCAGAGCAGCATCACTCCGGCCCTCCCCGCCCTCCCCTCCCCGCCAAAGGGTGCTGCTGCTTTCCACTTTACACTGAATTTTCTGTAGAGCTGGGTCTCAAGTCCAGCTGTTGGTGCTTCCCCTAAATGATGCAGTGGATAAATAAGGCTGGCAGTGGATCCTGCTGAGGCAGCTTTCCCAGGCTGTGACACTCACCGAAGCTCTCAGGCCACCCAGCTGGTGGCTGTGGGGACACCAGCATGAGACCCCTCCCCAGGTGCAGCAGGGAGGGGACTCTGAGCATCTCTGCCTCCCATACATCACAATTGATCCTCTCTGAGAGCTCAGATTAACTAAACCCATCATTTTCCTGTCCTGCAAGTAGTGAGCAGAGCTTTGCCCCAGAAGCAGGTGGTTTTTATGGTATGTACATTTTTCATGACAGCTGTAAGAAAACCCCTCTGAAACATCCCATGTGCAAAGGTTTATTCTTTAAAAAACAGCAGCTTTCCCTCTGCCTGCAGCTGCTTTTGCAATCCCAGCTCCCTTTCTCACACTTCAGGAGTCCTGATCTTCATGTCTACCCTTTGTCCAGCTCTCCCAGCAGCACAGGAGAGGACCTCCCATGGCCAAGCAGCAAATACAGGCTGCAGAGCCCAATCCTCATCTCCTACAGGCAGGTGAGCAGCCTCAGGGATAAACCTGCCCAGTCCACTCCTGCTCCTTCTTCTCCACACTCAGGACATCCTCAGAGTGTCTGACCTTGGCTGAAACCCCTCTCCAGGACAGCACCATCTTGTCTTGATAGGCTTCAGTCACTTATCCCAGCTCCAATAACACAAGGACAAAGGAGAGGGATTTACTCCTTGGCTCCCTGCTCACCCACAGCAAAGAATTTGGTCAATGTCTGAATTCCTCAATTAGTCTTCACTTTTCCTTTGTATTAAAAAAAAAAGCAAAACCAAAACAAAACCCACCCAGACATTACATCACCTGTGTGCAGTGAAAACAGGAGAGGACAGCAACAGCCAAAGACATTGTCTGGTCTATTGAAACACAGGTTTGGGCAGTTCACCAGTAGAAATTATGAAAAAATAATAGCAATTTCTATAATCATCAATAGAGTGATTTAGACAGTAAAACTGGGAGAGATTTTAGCAGCAAGTTTCACAACTGTGGGAGTTGATAGATTAAAAAAAGATTCCCATTTCAAAGACATTTTTTTTTCCCCAGAGCATAAATAAGCACGAAACTGAAACACCAATGAAAAGATGCTGAGAAAATGATCCCAGTTCCCTGACATCTGCAGCTTCTTTGCTGAGAGTGATGATGCCAGCCAAGGGTCAGGGATGCCATGTTCTGTTGTGGCACAGTGTTCCCAACTTGAAAAATAATGGAAAAGTGTTTCTGTAAAAAAGTGCATCTCTGTAATAGCATGGATCCACAGAGAGAGGAAGGTACAGGTGACAGCATTGTCCATCACAGTGTCACTTCTGCCACCATGTCCTGGCACATGAGGGTCCCTAATTTATTCCTTGATTCCTTCCAATGATGGATCAGCTTTCTCCTGTCTCCCTCTGTCACCATCCTTCCTGCAGCAAGGAACAGCCATACCTAGAAGGAAAAATAACAGGATTTTATATATATAATCCAAATATCTTGCTTCAAACGTAAATAAACTATTTCCTCTTAAATGACCAAAAGAGACACCACAAAATTTGGACAAAGGCAAAAGGACAAGGAGGGTTTTGCAGATGTATGGGTTCAAGAAAAAAAATTTCACCTATGTTGTGCTCATCCCCACAAATTACTGGGCAAGGAATTGTAAAATAGATCAAAAATTACATGTTGCAATAATCTGGTTTTGTATTACTTTATTTATTTTATATTTTATAGTACATATTATATATTTGATATAGCACAGATATTAAATATAGGATCTATAGACTATATACACAGAATATATAGAATACATATTCTATATTATAAAAATGTAATCCAATTATTCTCTCAATGAGCAGTGCAGATCTTGAAAGCATTAAAATATTCAAAGGACGTAGATACAGAGCAGAAACAGGGGTACTTCAGGCATTGCAGTAAATAGTCTTCATGGTTTTGTTACAGTTCTGTAAATGCACTTTTTAAAAAATGTACAGCCTTTACAGAATATCTCAGTTGTTAATCTAATATTGGAAGTGCTCAATTTTTCTTTTCTTTTAAACTGCTCAGTCATTTTTATGTGGATGGTCTGTGTTTTTGTGATACAGGAAAGTAAATCTAATCAGGTGCAGTTGAAAACATTCAACTGAAAGCAAACTATTGACACGAGAGCAAAGTTATCTCTGAGTTTAAAGCTCCTAATATATAAAAAAAAAAAATTCAGTCATAAACTGCTGAGTAAGGCACAATAACTGACAAAGGCTGAATAACACCTCTATTAAATTATTCAACTTGAAATTTGTGAAAAAAAAAACCAACAAACAAACACACACAAAAAAAAAAGGAGATATATTATCCATGGGTGCTGTTTAAATTCCTTCAGATTTATTCTCACCCAGAACAGCTCCATGCACTGTAGCTGTTTAATAAATAAGTTGTCCTGGCAGGAGAAATGGATTCACAGCAGGACTCCTTAGCATTCAGGTCAGACCTGTTAAATGGGAATTTCTAAATGTCTTTTTCTGTCACTGTATAAAATCAGATGTGTCCCAGAAACTGCAAGAGAAACCCAAAAAAGCCCTCTAGGAATAAAAAAACTACCTCCTGGTACCAGTAGTACTTTTTGCCCCTATTTCTCTGGACTTCAATAAGCCAAAAATAGCAATGTGTTAAATTTCTGGTTTATATAAACAAGAAATTCGGTTTTTAAATATATTATTCTAATTATTGTTTAATATAATTTCCAGATATTAAAGTATATATTATTTGCTGAAGTAACAAGTCCTTGTGTATATCAATATACCTATATTGAGTGCACTTGGTGAGATCTGCAGTTTCTGTGGGATTATAAACAAATATTTGTTATTCCAGCATTCATTTAAGTGGAACACATATTGGACCAAGTCAAAAATAAATTTCTACAAGGTATGTATTTTGCTCCTCTATTACCTTGCTACGAGAGAGGTTAATTTGAGTTCCTACACCAGTGGTTCTTTCACATGAAGCAAAACTCACCCATGCTTTAAATGTTTGCAAGATGACAGGAGCCTCAAAATTCCTCCCTCAGGTATTTGTGTTTTTCTACTAAAGTTCAACTTCTCATTTAGCCTTTAAGATACACATGTGCATGAAAGGGGGCTGCATCACACTGTGAAGAGAGAGACTATCATTATTGCTATTTACACTTTCTGATCTAGGTAGTAAATGAAAACCAGATATTAAATACTCAAAAAAAAAAAAAAAACAAAAACCACAAACAGTGATGACATCAGCTCAGATTCTTTTCTCTGCCAGGTACAACATATCTAAGTGCTGTTGCAACAGGGATCTCACACAGCAAAATTTTTTAATATAAAACCCCCAAACCCCTAGGATGGGGGTCAGCTGAAGTCAATAAGCAAAGAAAAATCTTTCAGATGGCAAAACCCTCTCCATCCTCTCCCAAAAGCTCCTTGGATTGGAGGGAGGTCTCAGGCAGCCAGGCTGACACAGACACCTCAGAGTTTGTCTCCTTGGCTTTTTTTTGGCCCCAGCAATGAGTCAGAGCTAAATTTTGTCTTGCCTTGGACTGAGCCTCTGCATCAGGCAGGAAGACACTTGATCCTGGAGAAATTTGGAGAAGTTTTGCAACATTGTTTTTTTCCAAGGGCTTGAGCTTTGCTGGAAAACACCAAAAAAATTCTGGAATTCCCTCTGCAGAGCATTGGGATCAATGGACACCTCTAAAGAAAAGTCAGGACAAGGTGAAATGGTCTCAAGTTGTGCAAGAGGAGTTTTAGATCAGGTATTAGGAAAAATCTCTTCACTAAAAGAGGTAAAGAATTGCAGAAGAAGTGGTGGAGCCACCATCCCTGGAAGGGTTTAGAAGACACGTAGATGTGCCACTTGGGGATGTGCTTTAGTGGTGGCCTTGGCAGCGCTGGGTGAAGGGTTGGACTTGATGGCTTTAAAGTTTTTCTCCATCCTAAAGAATTCTGAGACTCAGCTGAGCTCACAAGCTGCGGCAGCGTGAAATGCAGCACAAAACCTTCCTGCTGGGCAGCTGCCCCTGGGGACAGGCACGGCATTCTCGTGCTGCTCTTCCACATGGCAGCACCACAGCTGAGTGCCACCATGGCACAGAGCCAGAGAATCATTTCGGTTGGAAATCACCTCCGAGATCACCAAGTCCAACCTTTGACCCAATGCCTCAGTGCCAAAGCGCAATGTCTGCTTGTTTTTTGAGCACTACCATTGATGGTGGCTCCACCACTGCCCTGGGGTCTGTTCCAATTCTTAGCCACTCCTGCAGTTGTGGGAATCCAGGGCTTCCCTCTGGCTGCCCTGGCAGGTCTGGGACCCTGGCAGGGGTCAGGAACCCCCCTGGACAGAGCCCCCAAAGACACTGTCTGTGATCTCTGTCCATGGAGAGGAGTTTTCAATCTTACAGGATGAATTACAAGCTTTGAGTGTTTGATAAGAGTAATAATTAAGTGTGACACGGTTGCAAAAGTAAAATTTTAGGTTTCTAGATTAGGGGTTCAGAGGGGACAAGATGGAGGAAATTGGGTGTGTCTTGTCCTTTTTCTCCTTCTTCATGCCCTCCATGTTTCACTGTGGTGTTGGCATTTTTCTGTTGGTTTAGGCTGGGGACACACTGTTCAACGTAGGTGACAGATATTGGCACATTATTGTAAATATAGCACAGGTAGTTTGTGGTATTTAATGTTTGTACCATCCCACTGAGGGCAGAGCCCCACACGCTGCCCTGCAGGACAGAGCTGCGGCAGGGCAGCAGAACATGTTAGAGATAAACAGAATAAACAACCTTGAAACCAGCACAGACGAATTATGGCTTCTGCTTTGGCAACGGGGCAGAAAGACAGAGACTTTCTGCAGTCTCGGGATCACCAATACCCACAGATTCCGACATGCAGTGAAGAAATTTTTCCTAATATCCAACTGAACCTACCTTGGCTCAACGTGAGGCCAGTTCCCCTTGTCCTGTCAATACCTGACCCCTGTTCAGGCACAGCAGGGATGAGATGCTGAGCTCTGGGGGCTCCTGGCTTACAGACAGGGTCACAGAAGAACTGCTGCCATTCTTCAACAAAGCCCAAGTGCAATCATCCAGCTCAAGCACGAGGTAAACTCACTGACTGATGTCTTAGGGAGAGGTGCTGGGCTGCACTGATGCCCAACTATGGGGCTTCAAAATTATGCCTTAACATCAACACTGAATGCAAAATTTAAGGGTATTTCCTATCTGTCATTAAAAAAAAAAAAAGACACAAAATATTCCTGGGGGCTGGGATTATATATTCCTGTCTTGAGCAATGAGCTGCAAATGACATTCCTGTTATTAAAATACGTATCTCAGGTCACCTGGATGCAGGAGGAAATGAGTCAGAGAAGTGGTGGAACAGCCATCACTGAAATAGACACCTTTCCTCAGGTCCTTTCATTTTAACCTGACACCCATCACTGACATAGCCAGGATAATTTTGTCACAATTAAAAACACGGCTCACATCCCACTGTGCAGAGCCCAAGGTGACATCCCCAAGGAGATACCAGGGGAAGGAAGCTGCCTCTGTGCAAATTCTCCTGGTCCCCAAACCTGGGTCACTCCTTGCTTTCCTACAGCTGGAACATGAACTGAGGTAGTTGCCCAGGTTCAAACATCTTTCCTGGCCATCATCCCTTTTCCAAGAGGGATAAATGTTCTCCCGTGAAAAACCACAGGATCTGTTGTTGGAATAAATGTCCTTGTGCAGGGTGAACAGCTTGGGAAGATTAAAGTGTCCAGCATTAAAGAATGAGATAATTGGAAAATTAATAGCGTTTCAGAGGAAATGGATGTGGAGTTTTGTAACAAATGGCTTCCTTAAAATGACACACTGTACTGAGAACTCACATCTAAGAATATAAAAATGACTGGTTTGGTTCAAAGCAAAGGTTCATCCAGACAACCATCCTGTCTCCAACACTGGCTGTGAGCAGATGGCTAAGTAATAATGACAAGAAAATCATATATGACACTATCCCTTAATATTCAGTCTATTTTTAATTAAATCAATTTCCTGAGCCTGTTGCTGTCTGTTGAGTAACCCAAAATGAGCCTCTGTTCTGAGAATTTGTCCAGGCTCTGCATCCACATTGTCCTTTGTCAGGGACATCCCAGGGTGCAGGATTTCTTTTGCTTTCAGCCTCACCCACCATCAGCTTCACCTGCTGCCCCTTTTTTTCTGGATTGGAAAAGGCAGGGAATACCAATCCCTCTCCACTCCTTTCCAGCCACTCCTTACCCTGGAGACCTTTAGTATAAATCTATTTAAATCAGATTTTCAGGGTGAAGAGTCCTAGCCACACAAAATCCATGCTAGACCTCTGGCCCTACATTTTGTCCTGCTCTGAAACTTTTCTTGCTCCACTACTTCTTATTTGAGTCCCCTCTGTGAGATGAGGGGTGAGACCAGCACACAGCATTCAGGCCTTGGCTCTGGACCAGACCACTGGATCATACAAATGGCAAAATGTTTTATATCTAATTTCCTTCTTACCTGCTGATGTCCAATTTGCTTTTCCTGCTGGGTAAAGAGTTGATATTCCCATGGTAGTACCTGTCTTAACCCAAATTTTATAGTCGAGTCAGGAGTGGTTTTCCTTTCACACAACACTTCACAGTCACCTACTCCGAATTTCAGTCTCTATAAAATACTTCTGCAGTTCTGTATTTACAGCACATAAATGCAAATAAATTAATATTCGTAAAAATAAAGTTTGCAGGATTTGTTTTAGACATGATTTGATAGGAAGTGCAGTGGTGCCTGCAGGAGAACAGGCATGGGAAGAGTAATCACACACTTCTCTTGCAGTACTGGTGGGGATCAGGCTGTTAAAAGTGAAATAACACCAAATCTAGTTTGTTTTGTTGATAACAGGAGAGCATTAAACCAGCTGCTGCTTTTTATGCCACCATTCCTCCCACCCTGCCCCTTTTGAACAGGGTGTTGTGGCTTAGGGTTGCATCTTACAGGTTTAATTCAACAGAGGGGGTTGGGGTTTTGACAAATAAATGCAAAATTGAGAAGAAATAAGCTGTATAAGCCAGCAATCACTATTAATAGGACCACAGAATGGATGAAGCAAGTTGTCTCCAGCAAGCCATGGGTTTCCATCCTGCCAGCTCTGCCAGCAGGAGAGGTGGAGAACAGAAATGGGAGCCCTCCCTCCATTCCATCAGCTGTGACCTGCTGTGGAAATGAGTTCCCTCTCAAAGATTTTAACAGTAAAGATTCACAGCGATACCCTGCTCTGGAAAAACCCTCCTGCACCACACAGATGGACCCAGAAACTCCCTGAGGGGTCTCCACCAGGATTTCCTGCCCAGGATCTCTAGGGAAGAAGGTCAGTGTGCAGCTGTGGGGATTGCACCAAGAGACCCTGGAAGGGAGCTGAACTCAGAGAAAAAAAATCAAACAGTGCCTTGAACCCAACAGAAACCTGATTGTGAGAATTGGAAATTACATCATGAGACCAGTTCACCTACTTGAACAGCTCAGACCAAAAAAAAAAAAAAATAAAAAAAAAAAAATGTTGGAGCCAAGCAGAAAATTTACCTTTCCTTAAGTCTGTATAGAGTTAGAAGAATATTAGAATTTTTTTTATTCTAGTCTGAATCTGTGTCATTCAGATTAAAGAGGCAGAAAACCAGCCTGTCCACTGTTAAGTGCAGCTGGGGCACTGGCAGAATACATTGTCAACAGTCCCCAAAAGACACCATCACAAATTGCTGATTTACTGATCAAGAGAGGAAATTTCCCACAAGGAAAACTCACAATGCATCCAGGCATCGTATCAGACTTTCATCTGAGGTACCAACAAGCCTGGAGATTATGGAGATTTTCCACCCTCTGGTCAGTTAAGGGGCTACAGCAAGGAGAGGTTTGTGGTTTGCAGTCTGGATTTAAGGTAAGTGACGTGCACACTGAGAGCACCCAGGGAAGTGGGCAGTGTTGGCCACCAAATTGGAAACAGGTGGTTACAGTGGAAAAAGTGTGAGTACCTGGTGGGTGACTGCTGCACTTGACATCCTGCAAACCCCTTTGAGTGCTGCAGCTTTGCAAGGAAAGGGGGGCAGCAAGGGGCTCATAAACCACAGCTTCAACACCGGAAAAGCTGCGTGCTAGAGCCTCAGCATGGTATTTTTCCCTCTGTTTGAAAAACAATGCCTGTAATTTGCAACTAAATTTTGAAATTTTCGTTAAAACTTTCCATTCCTCTTTAAGAAAATGGGATGGAACATTTTAATGCACTCCTTCAAGGGTTAGGAGCAGGAAGAGTCAGTGGTGCAGTGGCAAAGACAGCCTGGTGTCACCCCTCAATTGCCATCACTGACCCTCTCAGGGATCCCACAGCTCATCCTCAGGAATGAGGCATCACTGCTTGGCAATGGGATGTCCTTCTGGAGCACTAGGAGACACCACAGGCAGCAGAACAATGTCATTTTTGAGCTCCTTTTGTGTTCACCAACCATGGCAGTGTGACTCCCATGTCCCCAGAGGAACTCCAGCCACTCAACACTGACACATCCAGGCAATGTCTGCTCTGACTGGCACTGAGAAACTCAAGAGCTTCTTACCCCATGAAAAAGTCCCTGACAGCTTTCCACAAAATGACAGAGAAGTCAAATATATCCAAAACTCAGCACGTTCTGCAGCTCTGGTGCCTCAGCTCCCTCTCGTTTCCCATTCCTTCTCTGTCAAATGGATGTAAGAAAGCACAAAAATGAATTCTAAATTCACCTCCTGCTAAGCCCCGATCAAAACCAAGTGAATCCTTGTTACTCTTCTCAGCCCTGCATGATTTTGTCTCTTGTCTCCTTGCTCCTGTCTTCTACCAATTATTTGACATTAATTAAATAGAGATCCAGGCTGGCCCTAGTATACAAAGATAAACCTCAGTCATAAGCAACTTAGGTTGGAGTTCAACAGCAATCAGAGTCCTGTAACCTTAGCTGCAAGTAAAATAAAACTTATAGGTTTGGGAGAAAAAAAGAAATTACTCTACTTTCTAATCAACCTGTCTTGTCTCCTGATTTCTCTTATATGATGCTCTGCAGAAGTAAATGGTTGTCTGAGTATTTTTCCTTCTTCCTCAGTCATGTCATAACAGTGACACTACAACAGAAATTACTAAATTATTAATAAAAATATGTTATTAATGGTACTATTCATTGATTTGGCTTAGGTCCTCAGTCAAACAACAGCCTATTCTAAAATACTGTATAGAGGACAAAAAGGCAAAGCAGAACACAGAAAAACCAAGGAGATTCCTTCATTAATCTGATTCCCCACCTTCTCCCCCAGTTTTAGAGTTGGTCATCACTATTAGTCTTACATTAACCAATTGAAATTATTTATGCAAGTGTTGATTTTTAATCAGAGCTTTTTCCTAGAGATCCTGCTTGTGTTCTGGAGCTTTTCCTGATCAAATGATTGTCACTGCAACTTTATTTCTTCTTCTTTGTTGCTATGCAAAATAGAAATAGCTTCGTACTACACAACACCTCATCACAGAAGTCAGTAAAAAAGCAATGTGTGACTGTCCTCCTGCAGCCATATCTCCCAATGACAATAAGCTTTTGCCTTGCCTTTAAATGATAAGCTCATTAGCAGGGAAAAAGGTGGCCTTGCCTGGAAATGAGCTCAACCTGTGAGCAAAGAGGACCGAGACCAAGGACACCTCCACAGAGAAAAGGAATACCTGGGCACCAGTTTGGTACCTTGGACTGATTAATATAAAATTTACTATTTGCCAAAGAAAAGAAAGAAATTAGATATCCCTATTAAGAAAGGCAGTAGCCCTTCCTGGATGAGCCTTTAATTGTAGAGGTTCTCTCAGCACAGCCACCACCCCATCTCTGAGGACGTGCACTGTGTGCTCCCTCTGCAGCAGAGCGAGAGCCTAGAACTGATGAATTTTCCCTCCCATCCTCACTGGCCATTCCTTTCCATTTTACTTTTATGTGCTTTATTTAAGGTAGACATCACAAGTCTCCCAGAGTAACAAAAGCATGAATTTCATATATCTCAGCAGGCCTAACAGCTTTCTTCACTCACCAACAGGCACTGAAGCCCAGGGAAATAAATCCAGTTCCTAAAATGTTTTCAGCGATTCAGCTCTGAGCCCCAATAGAAATGGCATCAAACCCAGCAGCACCTACTTTCTGACAGATCCAGGGAAAAGGGGCTTTCTTTGCAGAGGGGTGATGGAAAGGAAAAAAAAAAAAAACTAAAAAGGCATATAGAGGGAAAAAAATCAACAGGAAAGCCAGGAAGAAAGACACCAGCCAGCCCCTCAGAAGCTGGTGGAACTGTTTTAAATGTGTGTTTTTAAAGCTCAAGGAAACATCACCCATCCCCATGTGCAAGTGGTCACCTCGAGGCAGCAGCAAGGGCCATTGAGGCACACAAGAGGATTTTTTGGCAGAGAGGAAACACCTGTGGTGAGAGAAGAGAGCCACGAGTTGCTAAAACAAACAAAAAGCAAAGCACAGGCTGGACATTGGGCACTCAAATGAAGTTTCTGCTCACAGACCACCTGCCCTGCACGAAGAGATTTGCAATTGCAAAGAAGAACTCAACAAAGAAGAATTGCAAAGAGAACAATCAAGCACCTGAAGAGCCCAGCTGTGTGCTTGGAGATAAATGATCTGTATATCTATGCCATGGAACACCTGTGTCTCACTTGCTGGGTAACAACATGGTGTGGGCTCTGCCATCCACATGAGACCCCTGGAGTGGGCTAAGGAGAAGGAGGCAGAATGCCTACCAAGAAAAGCAAAGTGCAGCCTGCATCAAAAGCATGGGACTCACCCATAACTTCTGCAGAGCTGGAGCTGCTGTGGGTCCCCAGAGTGCTGGGGACAGCAGGCTGTGGTGGCCGATCCTACCTCAGCCATGAGCAGCATCACTCTGGATCTCTAGAGAAGGCATCCAGGAAAAAGCCTTGAGGCACCATTTAGAACTGATAAGAATATATAAACTCTGGACAAGACATTAATTTCTCCAGGAATATTTTTTCCTCGTTACGTCGCAGATGCCGAGCATCACCTCCTTACCCAAGAGGGTCCTGATGACATCACATCCTCCCCAGAGAGTGACAGAGCCACCCAAGCCGAGTGACAAAGATCTCCTCAGCTGTGCTGCACCAGCCCCAAGCACAGACAGCCCAGGAGAAGATGGACACGGCTCCTGCCCTGCTCCTGCTGCTCACTCTGGGATGCTGTGAGTACGGACACGGGGGTGTGCAGCCCCTTCACCGGGAGGGGCAAGGAAAACCCTTCCACTGAATCCAAGGCATTGGGTTCAGTAACAAAGGGAGTAAAAAGCAAACCAAAACTGCTGACTTTGAGGTGGGCTCAGTAATTTTGGGAGGAAGGGTGGCATCACCTCAGGCAGCAAAGGGCAGACAGAGTTGTGGCTGCAGCACCACCTGCACTGGGAAGGGAGATTGATCCAATGAGTGCTCCTGGAGGGGAGGGAGAAGGGTGGAAAAAAATGAGGCTTTGCAAGAAGTGCAAGGGGAGTCACTTCAGAGAAGCTGGGAAGGTGTAACGTTCCTGAGAAGGCTCTGGAAGAGCAGCACCCCTCTTTCAAGCCCAGGTGGCTGATTGCTGAGCACTCTCCATGAACCATCCCAGCAAGGACCCCAAGAAAACCTTCACATCATCCAGACAGTGAGGGCTTCCCTTTCCATTTGTATTTCCAGCCCATGGACAGGGAGGGAGGGAGGTTTCCTCAGAGAACCCTCTGACTCTTCCCAAGTGGTTCCAGCAAGGATTTCTCTCCTGCAGGCTGCCCTGGGATTTATGGCCAGCCACTTCAAATAAAGGTCAGTTCTCCCAAGGACATCACTCAGCTGCGGGTGGGACAGAGGCTGGAGCTGGAGTGCCAGACTTACAAGAGGTATGGGGCATCCTGGATCCGCCAGGACAAGCATGGGACCCTTCACTTCATTGTCTTCATCAGTTCCGTGTCCCGGGCCAGCTTTGGGGAGAATCAGGGAACAGCACATCGCTTTGAGACGAGCAAACACAACACGGTCTATCGCTTGGTAGTGAAATCTTTCTCACCGGAGGATGAGGGGACCTATTTCTGCGTGATGAGTTTGAACCAAATGCTGCACTTCAGCCCTGGACAGCGTGCCTTCCTGCCAGGTCAGCAACACCTTCACCCAGCCTCACTCAGCCCTGCCAAAATGCCCAGCACCTCCTGCCCGTGTCCTTTTTAACCAGCCATCCCTCCCACTAATCCCATTTCCCTGCTTGCTTGCCCAAGGCATCCTGTGAACAACCCACTGGTGCTCCTGCCAGAGCCTCCCTGCTTCCCACCTCTCCTCCTGGCACAGCTCCTGCCCAAAGCAAACATGGTTGGGCAGACCCAGCATCATCTCCCCATCCCCACTTCCCCACCCCACCCACGCCCCTGAAGGGAGAAGATTAAAGCAAAGTCCACCACCACCCCCTCCTCCCTCAGCACACAAAGGTCCCAAAAGTACCACCAAGCTCAGGGGGCTCAGGCTTTGTGAGGTTGGTGTCAGAAAGTGAGAAACAAGCAGGCTGCAGCTCCCTCTTGGCTCTTGGGAGACCCTTCTTTGGGGAGTCCCCATCCAAACTTGGCTCTATGAGCTAAACTCAGGAGCACCTGTGCCCTGGCAGGGCTAAGAGAGCAGAAGGGCAGGAGAGATCTGTTTTATTGTGTTCCCTGCATGCTGAATTCATCCATTTCACTTGTAGTCACCACCACAGTGGCACCCACCACATGTGGACCCACCTCCAAGCGTGGCACCACTGAGGAGCCCAACCTCAAGAGTCCAGATCCAGGTAACCTGAATGGAGGGAGGGAGAGGGGAAGGGCTGGACTCTGCCCCATTGATGCCAAGGGGGAGCCTGCAGGAATTTTGGGATTGGGAGGGAGAGAGAAGATCCACGGAGCTTCTTTATCACAGATGCAAGGATTAAATTCCAATATTTCATTCAATTTAAGAAAGGCTAAATATGACATAAAAAGCACTAGCATGCCTGGGCACACCAGGAATATGGGGAGGGGGGTAGAGCCATGGGGGCTGGGGCTGCTTTTAGCCTCAGCAGGAAACAGGAGAAAACTTTTGGCCACATATCCTCCCTCAAGTCGCCAGGAAAATGCTGACACCAGAACTGTCTGTAACATCGGCCATGAGCACTTGGTGGACATTCCATCTTCTCTCTTCCTGCAGAGGGAAGAATGCAGAAAGATCTGAATTTCCTCTGTCACATCTTCATCTGGGTCCCCTTGGCAGGTGCCTGCCTCCTGCTCCTCATCGCCCTGGTGATCACCGCCGTGCTGTGCCAACGTAAGGCTCTCCACAACCCTCTCTAGATCCATCTCTGGCCTGAGAGCACAGCCCTGCCCTCGGGGAGAGGGATGTTCTGGCAGTTTGGGGAGGCTGAAAAATCAGGACACAGCCAGCGCAAGACACTGTTAAAATCAGTGTCTGTGTTTTAATCCTCATCGGTAGGATTAGGATGAGAAAGAATTATCAACTTCGAATCGCACAGCAAAATTATTTATGTTGGAAAAAAGTTTCAAGGAAGAAAAATATATTAGAAAGAGACCGTGCTTAGTCTATAACTATCTTGGCTCATAAATGGGTGTGTCAGAGGTTGAAGCCCCAGAGCCTGAAACATTCTGACCTAGCAGAGTAAATATGCTCCAGAAAATCCTGAGGGTCCAGCAGCAGCTCAAGCTGGAAGCAGATGAGAAACTTCATTACCTTACGATCAGGGGAAAGCACTCAGCTGCAGTTAATTTCTGCAGCAGTTTCCAAGACCTTCAGGATGGATTTTTACCTTAGTAAAACTTTTACCTGGGCATTTTATTTTGCTGAGTCTTCCCCAAAGTACCAACACAGAGACTAAAACGGGGAAGAGCAGGGTTACCTTGGGTGCATGCCACTGGCATCACTGCCACTCACCTGCTGCAGAAATCATTGCTGCTGAGGGATTTTCAGCAACGTGCCAAACTCACTGGGGACAGCAAACAGAAATAATTTACCCTCAGTGTCCCCAGGCTGACCCTGCTGCTGCTACTCACCTTAAAGATTTATTCATGAAAATATTTAAGTGGATGACTGGGGTAACATGAGCTGCAGCACCACTCCCTGGCATGGATTTCCTCAAACCCAGGCTGGGTTTATCCATTATTAAAGATATCAGCTGCAGGGGAGCACCAGCCCCAACTCAATGGAGTGTTTCTTTCCTGAGCTGTCACTTGGCACCTTTGAACTGAAACGTTTTCTCTCTTTTCTTAGAAACCAGAAGACGAAGATGCAGGTGTAAGAGGTGAGTGACGGGCACTGGCATTTTTCTCTTCAGCTTGGCAACATCTCACCCTCAAGAGATAAAGGAGGCAGGTGCCAAAAAGCAACCTAAAAATTCTTCATCTGATAGAAGATGGCTGGCAGGAGCCTGAGCAATGACTTAAGGGCAAAAACAGAACAGAAGGTTCTCCTGTTCTCTATTTTTGGTTTTGCTTGGGGTTTTTTGTCTGTTTGGGCTTTTTGTTTGGTTTTTCAACTATTAAGTCATTCAAATTGCTGCGCTCTGACCCAGCAGCACATACAAAACAGAAAGACAGGAGGTGTTTGTGGCAGCCCAAAAACTTTGTGCATCACCCAGTGCTCGTAAGTAATCACATTTCTGTTCTTCCAGTGCACCATTCCCAACTTGAGCCTGGGGGAGAGCATATTTCATCCCTTCCCCTCCCCAGATCATTCATTTGATTTCATTACTGCATATTCAGATGTCCCCATGGTTTACATGTTAGTTCCTGCACCCCAAATCCGCTCTGTTGTTTTGGGGCCAACAGCACCGGGCTTCCTGCCTGTGTTTCCCCAACAGGCACGAAGGAGCAGCAGCAGGAGGCTGCTGCAGCCCCACAGGACTCTCCCCAGAAACACCAGGAATAGATTGAGGGGTAACCCAGTTTCCAGGGCACACAGGAACCTTTTCTTGATGCTTTCCCTCCTGCCTCCCCAGCCCACCCCTCACCCTGGGTCACCAGGAAAACACGATCAGAATGAGAATTGCAGTCTCCTGGTCTGGAAGAGGAAATGCTTTTTGCCCACACACATTCTGCTTCTGAACATCGACCCCCCTGCAGCTGGTTTAGTCATTTCTCCTGCTCTGAAGGAAACCTCTTCTGCACTTCTGCAAGCCTTGTGCACCCTGGGGCTTGTGGCAAGAGGGACACCAAGAAGTCCCCACTACTGCAGCCAGGGCTGGGCTAGTGCTTGGAACAGCTGGGTTGCCAAGAAACTTTGGAACAGCATGTTCACACCTCTGGAGCCTCATTCTTTGCCAGTCAAAGCATTTTTTAAATCAGATAAATTCCTGTTCCCAGTTATATATCCATGTTTTTTTTAGTACAAGAGGTAATTGCCATTTAGTTCTCCAAATTAATACAGTCCCTCCCCAACATTAGTAGGAAAAGGATCCCTACAAATTTATTTTTCCTTTCAAGGCAGGTTGCATTTTTTGAACTGTCTGTGAAAGGGAACAGACTGTCATTTTCACAGGGGATATTTATCACACCCAGCACTTTCCTGGTCCTTGTCTGCCTTTCCAGGGGAGAAATGATAAGGAAGAGCTCTTCATGCAGCCTTGTTTAGGAGAATGTTTGCGTTTTTCACTTATCTCAACCCCTTTTGCCAGCTCTGTGCAAGGATGTTCTGTCTCTGTGGGGAGAAAAATGCCCAGCAGAGCTCTCCCACTTTGCCCTGAGGCAGTGGATGTAATACAGGGGCCTCAGGAAATGCCCTCCCCAAGGATGACTCTCCTTCAGCAGCCCTAAACTTGACAGAGCTCTGGTTTTAGCTATTGTACCATGTTTCACTTTTGATTTAGAGAGGAAATTCCTGCTGCTCTGAGCAGCTCCTGCTTAGTGAAAGGAAGCTCTTAGGAAGTTAACACTGCAATTCACCCCCTTACAAAGCAGCCCAGCATCTGGCCTGCCATCCTTGCTGGCAGCAGCAGGATTCGTTTTCCATCACCAATTAATCTTCCCTGAAAAGGGGTGCCAAATCCCCAACTCATTAGATCAGCATAAAATGCTCAGTTGATGGAGAGCAGTCATTGGTATAATTTTGGGTGCACATTGGCTATCTGGGAAGCATCCTTTCAAAGTTCTCCGCAGGCAACATGTTCCAAAAAAAAAAAAAAACAAAAAAACACCCACAAACCCTTACCTCTTCCTTCTTCATTCTTTTCTGAATGTAGAGAAAGGCTTAATGAGAAGGCAGGAGTGTGCAGAAGTCAGAGATAAATTTTAAAAGCCCACTTTATTTTTTAATTAATGTAAGAATTGACCATCAGTGTATCTTGAGAATATCTTTCTGTTATCTGTCACTGCTTGAAATGGAGGCAGACCTTTCACTTGCACAAAGAGGATTTAGGAACACTTTGCAGTCTCCTCTTGGAGGTCTCTGGCTGCAGCCCAAGGCTGAAGGAGCCTTAATTGCCTTCTTGCTCCTCTCCCACCCGAGTAAACCAAACCCTCTTCTCTCTCCAGACCTGCAAACAGGAATCCCCCCACGAAACCCAGGACACCAAACTAACACCGAGCAGCATCTGCTCCTCCTGGCTGCTGGATCTTCTCCTGGGAGCTGCCAGCACAGAAATCCATCTCCTGTGTTATCCACGAGGCCACTGCACCTCAGCCACCCTGCCCGGGCAGGTTGGATACCGGGGAGGGAGCAAAGCCACACGATGAGGAGCAGCAGCTCCCTGTGAGCTGCAGGTGAAGCACAGCTCCTTGCACAGCCCGAGCTCCTTTGGCAATGCCAGAGGCCACCTCTGCTCCCAGGGACAAGAGCCAGGCCAGTCCTGATGCTGACACAGCTCAGTGAGAAGCTGGTGAGAAATAAGGACACGAGCTGGACCTTTGCTCAAGGCTGTGTGCAATTTCCTCCCAAAATGCAGCCAGAGGTGGAGTTTGCTACACAAAGCCTTAAAAATAATTATCCTCACTCAACACGTCTTCTTCTTGTGGTGCCTCTCTCCTAGGGCTTTTATTGTTTCATGTAATGGAATACAAGACTGCATTGAGAAGCTAAATATGGATTAATTGCCTTACTTTTGAGGGTTTTACAGTCCTGGGGGCTAAGGTTCACTGCTCCCCTCACACTGTCCTTGTTCTGCTGCTACCCCTGATCCACCTATTTCTGCAGGAGTTTGACCTGAGTAAAGAAAGTGGAATTTGCTTTCTTTCTGAGGGAAATGCCCGAGTGATTTTTAAAAAATTGGTTTGATTTAGCAGGATGTTTAACATGCTGATATTTTGGGGACATGCTATGGACTACTGTACTTACTACTGTAAGTTCTGTTTCTTCAGATCTGTATTTCATGTAATTATTTCCTTAGTATACTTGCAATTTAAGAACTGAGACATAAAATAAAATTATTCTAGTCAGATTCATGACCATTATTTCTTTCTTTTTTCAGTTCCTAGTCTTAGAAAAGCTAAAATTCTTCAGGAAGATAATAAACAAGGGGTTGAAAAACTCTTGGCTAAGGGAAAAGCCAGTGATTAATACACTATTCTGAGTGTTAGGGTGCAGTCTTCAGCTAAAATCATCTAAAGCTAACTTCCCAGGGATTTGCTGATGGGTCCAGTAACACCCCCACATCCCAGGAAACTGCCAAGGAGGTGTCTGAGATAGTCTGTGGGTACTCTGGAATTCCTGTCACGGGGTTGATAAAACCTGGCCAAAAAAAGACTGGAAGAAAGACTTTGATAGTCTCCTCCTCTGTAAACAAGATGGGAAGGAGAAAAAATAAAAGAAAAACAAAGTTCTCCCAAACATAGTTGTTTGTAAAAATTAAAATTAAAAAAAAACCAAAAAAAATCAGGAGTAGATTAGTGTATCTAAATAACAGCAGGCAAATACTGAATGGCAACTCCACAGAACTACACACACTATGAAGATAAAAATAACAGAAAAGCCCCAACATTGAGGCTATGAGATCAATTTAATTATTGAATTAGTCTCTTATTGAATTAGTGTGAGATAAAAATTTTCACTTAAAAAGCTATAACTCAAAGTGTTTCTGCAAAAAGCTATAGGTGTTTCCTCATATTCTCATATCCACTTTTTCACATTACACATCACACCACGTTCCTGTAGCCCAGGCAGAAGGGCAGTGTGCTCCTGCTCTGCTACTGACCCCCACACCCAAATCCTCTTCCAACAGATGAAGAACCAGAAGCAGGATCTGCTTGCTCTGGGAATTTTTATTTATTTCAGAGTGGTTGTTCGCTATTTCAGAACACACCTGATCACTTTTAAGCCGAGTGCCAAACCCGGGAGGTTTGTTTTATTGTGTTCCCTGCATGCTGAATTCATCCCTTTCACTTGTAGTCACCACCACAGTGGCACCCACCACATGTGGACCCACCTCCAAGTGTGGCACCACTGAGGAGCCCAACCTCAAGAGTCCAGATCCAGGTAACCTGAATGGAGGGAGGGAGAGGGGAAGGGCTGGACTCTGCCCCATTGATGCCAAGGGGGATCCTGCAGGAATTTTGGGGTGGGGAGAGAGTGAAAATCCATACAGCTTTAGCCGAGTTGGAAGGATTAACTTCCACCATTACACCCCCATAGGAAAGGTAAGGATGTAAAAAGCATAAGCATATCCCATGGCAGGGACAGGGGGAGGGAAGGTAGAGCCTCGGGGCCCAGGCCTGCTTTTAGCCTCTTCAAAGGACACAGGAAAACTTCTGGCCATGTGTCCCCCCTCCAGTTCCCAGGAAAATGCTGGCAGCAGTAGAACACCAGTGCAGGCCCAGGGGAAGCTCTGTGCCTCAGGCACACCAGGCAGGCCCCTGGGCAGCTCCCCTGGCTCCACCAGAACTGGCCGTAACACCAGCTGTGAGCACCTGGTGGACCTTCCCTCTTCTCTACTCCTGCAGCCTGCAGAATGCAGAAAGACCTGAATTCCTTCTGCCTCATCTTCCTCTGGCTCCCCTTGGCAGGCCTCTGCCTCCTGCTCCTCCAGCTCCTGGCCACCACCATCGTGCTGCGGCAACTTAAGGCTCATCACTAGCTCCTCTAGATGCACCTCGGCCTGAAACCACAGCCCTGTCCCTCAGAACATTCTGGCTGCTTTGGGAGGCGTGGGATAACCAGGAGACTCTGCAAGAGAAGGATCCTGGTTATAGTCACTGCCTGGACATCTTCCAGTAAATCATCTTCACTCTTTCTGAGTGACCTTCCCCCCCCCACCACTCCAGCTCTTTCCAATGATTTTGTACGAAGGAGGTGCAATGATCTGACTAAGGCCATGTGTTTTGCTTGGGAAGCATTGCCTTGAAAATGTATTTTCCCTATTCAATGTCGTTGAATGTGACATGTGACACACACCAAAATTAAATGTATGAACACTGAACAGAAAGCTGTTCAGAAAACTGAGCAAAAACATTCTTGTGTATTGCAATCCCTGTAAGCTTTGTTATTCTTCCAAATTAAATTACTACCTCCTGACCCAGAGACTGATTATTTATTGCTTGTTTTACTACTTGGGAGCCTACAGAGGACAATTCTGTGGGGAGAAACAGGACATGGGTATTTAAATTCAAAAAAGTATTTCAATAAGATGAACACATGTACAACAAAGTCCTTTCTACTGCGTGGAATGCTAACATAGGATAAACAGAAAAAAGTAAAACCCCAAGCAATAAAAAATATATATTTGGGCATTAATACCTGACATTACTAATAGTGATGCTCCACTGTGTAGTGTTGCACTAAGACACCAGTCCTGAAGCAATATTGACCCAGGCAAAATTGATGCACTGAAGAACTGGGATTAGGGAATCTTTGGGTTTGGGTTTTTTTGTCATTTTGTCGGGTTTGCTTGTTGGTGCTTTTTCTGCAGTCTTTTCATTTGCACAGGAAATCAACCTCTAAGAAAGAATTACAACACTGACAGTGGTAATTACCACCCTGAACAGCTCCAAATCCACTGCACAGTGAAATCTTCCCATTTTTGACCTCTAATAGCACTGTAACAGATACCATGTGTTAGCACAAGCCTATAGGGGAAGGGAGCTGAAAAGCAAATCCAGCTGTGGATTTTCAGTGAGATCCTGCATGTTCATGGACTGCTTTCCATCCCAAGATACCTGAGGGGTAAAACTTGTCCTGTCTCTTCTTTCACAAGGTTTTCTATCACCGAGCTCCTTAAATTTTAGTATGTTCTACAAACACAGCCAATACACTGCACTGAACTGCTCTGGTTCCACCTTGGCTGCAAAAGCAGCACAATCCTCTCTGCAGCAGGCCAGAAGGCTGAGGGGAGCAGAACAGCTTGGGGTGAGCACCAAAACAAACCCTTTTGTAGTCACTGCCCCAGTTTCTCACTCATACCCCAAAAATGACCAACTTCACCACAGAAGCCTCCAGCACAAGCAGTGACCAGCACAGCTCTCCAAAGCAGCACTGACTTTCCTTTGCCAGCTCTTCCTTCCACACAGTCCCTCGATCAGCTTGTGTTCCAGCCCAGCTCAGCTGCACCCAGCACCTAAACCTGAAACCTTGCATTTGCACTAAAATATTGAGAAGCAATTGCAGGTATCAGTGCAGTAGTGAGAAGGGAAAGTGCCAAGAGCAACTCCAGCCCTGCATGCATACACCTCTGGGAATAATGCAAGTTCAGGGCAAACTGGCTGGGTTTGTGGCTGAGGGCAATGTCTGGGCAAGGAGCCTGGACTGCTGCTTGCACCAACAAAAAGAGGAGGACTGGCTGACCTGGAGTGCAGAGAAGCAGCTCAAGGGTGCTTGTTTGTGCATGTTGTTGGACAGGCCCTACAGATCTGACAGCTTCTGGTTACAGCACATGGAAGGGGTTCCAGCTGCCTGAGCAGGGTGCAGAGGCTGGAAGCTGTCACAGGGCTAACTGGAGGCTGGCATGGAGAATGACACTCAAAGAGGAGCACAAGGAATGCATTTGTTCAGAGGCTGATGGTTACCTAATTGCATGCTTGCTCCAAACTAGAAAGGGAGTAGCTCATAACTCAGGAGCTGATGGGCTAAAGACAAATAATCCAGGAGTTAACAATTAATGGTGAGGAGAGCAAGAGCTGCTGCACAATTTAAGCATAACCTTGACTAATAAAGGAAAAAAAGAGTACAAAATAGTAGCTGAAAAAGCCTATGAAGATGAGGAAGGCATCAGATGCCCCCAAAACACAGAGCATCCAAAATTTGTTGACAGAACCCTGCTTTTACACTGTACAGAGCTTCACTTATTCAGAGAACTTTTCTGAGTGAGAAAGGATTTTGATAAATAAACTCCAGATACATAATACAGCCAAGATTACCCCATCAGAGCCAGTAAGTGGACTGGTCAGTTAAAGTTACTTTGCCTGTCCAAGCCTGTACTTGATGATGACCTGTCACAGGGAAGTAACCTAAGCTCCTCCCAGACTCCTCACACTAATTTTGTGGTGCATTTTGTGCACGTGCTTGGAAGCCATCCCCAAAACCATGCCCTTGCTGCTGCTTCTGCAGCATTCAATACAGAAAAGCAAATTAAGGCAGGGGGAAAAGTACAGAAACCTCTGGAAGAACAGTAAATAGGCAGTGAAACACAACCTTCCTATAAGTGGGTTTCTTCCTTCTGATTCATCTGACATCAAAATATGCAGGGTCAGCACAACCTATCCATCACCAGATTCCCATCCTGAGCTGTGCTGAATAAAGTGAATACGTGTAAATTTTTGTCATGAGAGATCAACCACATCTGTTTGTGCTTCACATTCCTAAAAACCTCCCATGTAACTGAGAAACCTTGGAAAATACTGCATTTGTTCTCAGTTCTGAGGGGAAAGAATTGTCAGTCAAAACAGCTACCTTCATGTATTTATTCCCTCTTCCCACAGGCAAATGTGTCATGGATGATGCTCAAGACTTGCACTGAAAAATTATTTGCACCTTCCCCATCCATTTTCTCTAGCCAAAGGAAAAGTCCTAGCCATAACCTGACACTTAGGAAGAAGAAAGAAACCAAAAGCAGTGTCACCAGGTCTGAAAATAAACACCAGGCAGAGGAAATGCAGGAGAGAAAAGGGGATCTCCTTTCAAAGGCCAAACTCAGGGAAGGTTTGCTCACTGCAGCCCAGGTCACAGCACCCACCAGTCTTTGTTCCAGTCTGCATTGCTGTTTTAAAACACCCTTTAGAAAGTGAGAAGTTCTGAAGTAGGAACTAGACAACACTTCCAGGCTTTTGCATTTGAAAACACAGATAAAGCTGTCCTGTAAAAATTAGTACAGGTTAGTGTGATCTGAAACCCCAGCTC